CAGGGAGCATCTGTCTCCTGTACCCGGCCAGACTAACAGGAAGTGCACTGTTAGTCCGGCCGGGTACAGGAAACAAAAGCTCCCTGTACCCGCGGACCAATACAGGGCACGGCCACGCTACAACTGAGGTAGGGGGTGGGGGAGGGGGGGAGAATAAGGAGAGATTGGGAGGGGGAATAAGGAGAGATGGGGATAAGGAGAGATGGGGGGATAAGGAGAGATTGGGAGGGGGATAAGGAGAGATAGGGGATAAGGAAAGATGGGGGTTAAGAGAGATTGGGGGATAAGGAGAGATGGGGGATAAAGAGAGATTGGGAGGGGGATAAGGAGAGATGGGGGAGATAAAGAGAGATTGGGAGGGGGTAAGGAAATTGGAGAGGGGGGATAAAGAAAGATTGGGGGTAGATAAAGAAAGAAAGAAATTGTGAGGGGGAAGGAAATTGGAGGGGGGAATAAAGAAAGATTGGGAGAGGGGGATAAAGAAAGAAATTGGGAGGGGGGAGAGAGAAGGAAATTGGAGTGGGGGAGAGAAGAATATTGGAGGGGGGGAGAGATTGACATTCATCACACACAATGCACCCCTTGCACACAGAAAGCACACACTGCATTACACACACAGACACACATACACAAGCAATGCAGCTGTTACACACAATGCATCCCTTACACAAACAGAAACACACAATGCATTCATTACACACACTCAATGCACCCCTTACACACACTCAATGCATCCCGTACATACACAGAAAAACACCTTGCAGCCCTTGCACATACAAACACAGATTCACACAATGCATTCCTTACACACATATCAGGATATCCCCTACACACTCCACCCCCTGTGAACAAACTCATTGGTGGAACATGAAGGTGGACCCTGGGACCCAGACCTTGAGCTGTGTAAAAGGCCCCCCAAAAATGGAGCTGCTTCCCGTTCTCCCAGAACATTGATTTTTGTGACCACAGTTACAAACAGCCTCCAGAGAGCCTGTTCTACACCAGACCAGTGGAGACAGACGGCAGCCAGAGCCCATCATCATCCTCATCTGGTTGTAAGTAGGCAATCTAGTATATTATCAGTGACACTAATCTCTAATTTACCTCACATTAAAGAAACACTATAGTCCCCAGGACCAGTGCAGCTTAATGGGTAGTCTGTATGTGATAGGAATAGTTTGTGTGTGATGATATTGGGCTGTGTACATGTGATGGAAAGTGTGTGTTAGCACTGAGCTGGCTCTATGTGATGAGAATGTGTGTAGTCATTTTGTGCTGTCAGTTTCTGATGGTTTTGTGCTGGCTGTTTATAGTGCTACTGTGTTTATCTTAGTAATAACCTGATGAGTAGATAGAATAATGTAACTGGTTATCTGTGCTGCCTGTGACCTGTATGACAGTTGGTGAATACTAAAGCAAAACAAACTAAAATTACGTGTTTCATTCTCATACAATATGTAATCTGGGGACATACATTTAATCTATCTGAAAGCTTCACTTCAAGTTTCTTATGGTCTCAGTAGTAATGCCACTGTCTGGAGTGTCCGTTCACTCCCTCAGTCCCTCTGCAAACTGTAGTCTCAGCCAGGTAGGTAAGGTGTCACACCTTAGGTGTAGCCGCACTATCTGCTCCGCTCGTTCCCTAGTCCCTCTGCAATCTCCAGGCAGGGTAAGGGGTTGCTGCACACTCTGCTTCGCTCGCTTCTAACCCCTTCCTTCAATGTCTCTTCCTTCCCTTTCATATCTCTCCCCCACGTCAATCTCTCTGTTCCCCTTCCATCCATTTCTCGCTCCACCCTTCATCCATATCTCATTCCCTCCTTCATTCATGTCTCTGCCACAATTCCATCTCTCTGTTCCTCTTCCATGTCTCTCCTCCCTTCCATACATGTCCTTCCCCCATTTCATTCATATCTCGCTCCCATCCATATCTCTCTCCCATTTCGTCCTCTCATCCATGTCTCCCTCCCATGTCCCTTGCCTCCTATCCATGTCCCCCTCCCATGTCTCTCTTTCATGTACTCCTCTCATCCACCTCTCCCTCCCATGTCCCTTGCCTCCAGGGCTGGACTGGGGATTCCAAAGCATCCCTGGAAAAAAAATCTATGCCAGCCCCATAAGTCATTGCGCCATATATTGTCGCATGTAATATGTAAGGCTATGTCTTGCCACACTAGATGATTGATATATATATATATATATATATATATATATTGCTTTTTCCAATATAAAATATTGGTCCTTTCAGAGTAGGAGCTCCCCCTCCTGGGGTCTCAGGCCGAGATGGGGGTGTAAAAATCACTTGTCATACCCTGTCCCTCCCCACCCCGCCCTTACCGCCTAACTAAGAAAACCTTGGTTTTAACGGTTAGAGCAATAGTCTAATCTGAGGTTGTATTTAGCAAATTTTAAGACCTGCTAAGCAACAGATTATTGTTATGTCCTGATATGTAAAACCATAGAACTCAAAGAGGGTGTACTTTATTTTTCCTACCAATCGTTATCCCCCATCCCCACTACCCACAGGGTCAGTAGCCACTAGCCAGTCCGTACCTATTTTGGACCAAAGTCCATCTGTCCCACTATTTCTACGCTACTGTCCTATTTCCTAAGAGCTCCATATTATAGGTGTGTCTGAGTGTATAGCACGGCTCCACAACAATAAAATTCACAGTAATGTGTCTTTAAACTGTGTGTTTAGAAAACAGTCTGTTTAAATGAGATGCATTGTTCTTGTTCTAAATTGCATTTTTATTGTAAACAAACATTATTATTAAGTCAAATAAAATATCTCAGAATAGTTTTGTCCCTGGCCACATTGTCCTAATTACCCCCATAGAATTAAAGTGTCCCTCTTTGTCCATTTGAAATGTTTAGAAGTATGTGTTTGTGTGTTGTGGATGCAACAAGGACGTAACCAAGTTTTGTGGGAAAGACCGGGAAGAATACAAGATATCAAAAGGTTACAATTTACTGCAGATTAACAAAATAAGTACACTTTGCACAAATTCAACATGGCAGTGAGTTCCCAGAGCCTCGCCTCTTGGAGACTTGATAAACAACTATTAGTGGAAATCATCAAAGACTATTACAATATATTGTCTTGATTGAGAGTCTAATTGTATTGTAAATAAAAGGAACACTATAGTCACCTATTACTTTAGCTAAATAAAGCAGTTTTAGTGTATAGATCATTCCCCTGCAATTTCACTGCTCAATTCACTGTCATTTAGGAGTTAAATCACTTTGTTTCTGTTTATGCAGCCTTAGCCACACCTCCCCTGGCTATGATTGACAGAGCCTGCATAAAAAAAAAAAAAAAAATGGTTTCACTTTCAAACAGATGTAATTTATCTTAAATAATTGTATCTCAATCTCTAAATTGAACTTTAATCATAAACAGGAGGCTCTTGCAGGGTCTAGCAAGCTATTAACATAGCAGGGGATAGGAAAATCTTAATTAAACAGAACTTGCAATAAAGAAAGCCTAAATAGGTCTCTGTTTACAGGAAGTAAATGGGCACTTTCATGTGAAAAATAGAGTTATGCAGAAATTGATTTCCGGTTCATTACGGTTTCTCCCAATATAATTCATGGTAATCGCTGAATAAATAAATTCCAAATAATTTTACCTGTACTTATTGTGACAAACTGCCTTTTGTCACTGGCTTTTTATGTGACCAAATGCCCTTTGCCCCTGGCTTTTGGAGGAGCCTGATTGCCAGCCTCCTGCCTTTTGACTATGGCCCGGGGGTGTATGGGCCTTTAAAAACATTATTTGGGCATATTGGATTGTAATACACTTTTCTGCCCCTTTAATTCCATGAGATAATGTGCCTCTTCCCCTCCCCCTTTTTCCTGTCTATTGTTTCTCCAGCAGGGCGTTGTCCCAGGGACAGTGCCAGACCAGTTTAAACTGGCTGCTTTGTCCCTCCTCAATCTCTCATCAGCCCTTGCTAAACTTTAACCCCATGGTGATTTTATTCTGTTTGTGGGATCTGAGCACTCTTCGGACATATTGAGCGCTCAGATCCAAGCTATATGGGCAGGGCCGGATTAAGAGCACAGTGGGCCTGGTGCTGACAATTATGATGGGCCTAATTATGGAATCTTATCGACCAAAAACACTAAAACAATCATACCTCCCAGGCGTCATGTATCTGATGGAGATGGTGCTGGAGGGAAACTCATACTCTATGCTAATTTCTCTCTAATTTATGCTTTCATTTTTCAAGTAAATCCATAACCCCTAGCAGCAGTGTCCAGTGAAGCAGGAAGTCAATGGGCGGGGTAAAAGGGTGTGTCACTGGCGCGAATCACGTGACAAGACCTGCCAAAAGGGGTGAACATGCCCAAAAAGGGGGCATGTTTGTCCAAAGAATTGGAAGGTCAGCCTGGCATGAATGCATGTCAATCCTGCAGGCTGTCCAACTAAGGGCATACAATGCAGGCAGCCCCTTGAGCTTGACATAAATGCGTCTAATGATGCGCTCACTCCATTCTTTCTAAGGACTGTCCCCTAGCACTCGCTTGTCCACTTGTCTCCTTACCTTCTTACTAGCAGGCAGAAGTTCCTGGTATAGTCTGAGACAGAGAAAAGGTGTCTGTAGTGAGTGTAGAAGAAAGGGGACATGCCACAGTGTTAGAGAGAACAACGCCTGCATTACCTAAACTAACTTTAATGTCAGCCAGTGCACACAAGTTTTGTTCCCATACATCCCTCTTAAGCTTCCAAACTTAAAGGGACACTATAGTCACCAGAACAACTACAGCTTATTGTATTTGTTCTGGTAAGTAGAATCATTCCATTCAGGCTTTTTGCAGTAAACACTGTCTTTTCAGAGAAAATAACTCCACTGGCTGCTCCTTAGATGGCTGCTAGAGGTGCTTCCTGGGGCAGTACTGCCTAGTGTGCAGCACTGCCATTCAGTGTCTCCACCCTCTGCATGCAGACACTGAACTTTCCTCAAAGAGATGCATTGATTCAATTTATCTTTATGAGGAGATGCTGATTGGCCAGGGCTATGTTGGACTTGTGCTGGCTCTGCCCCTGATCTGCCTAGTTGACAGTCTCAGGCAATCCTATGGGGAAGTATTGTAATTTGCTCAGACCACCACTTCTGAGCCAGCAGCTGCAGAATTGAATACAAGTAATATTTTACTATATTTAGGGAGGCAAGAAGGGGCCAGGGTGGTGGTTTTAACATAATAGGGTAATAAATACATGATTGTGTTCCTGACACTATAGTGCTCCTTTAAGCAAGAGTATGTGAAGAGTAGTTAAGGTTGCCACCTTTCTTGGAAAAAAATACCGGCCTTAATCATTTGTATAATTAATTAGTTATGCATGTAAATCACAAGGAGTGACATCAGAGAAAATTCTGTAAAATCACCAACAAACTACTCACAGTTTGATTCTGCTGTATAGATGGATTGCTCCCAGTGTCTCACTGTCTCCCAGTGTCTCAGTCTTGCAAGTCACCCAGTGTCTCAGTGTCCCTATGTATCACAGTGTCAGTGTCCCCATCTCGCCCAGTCCCCTAGTCTCCCAATGTCTCAGTGTGTCCCCATGTCACTAGGATACTGGGGACACTGAGAGACATGGGGACACTGGGAGACACATGGGGACACAGACATTTAGGGAAACTGGGAGAAATGGGGAAACTGAGACACTAGGGACACAGACACTGGGAGACATGGGGACACTGAAACATTTGGGGACACTAAGACACTAGGGACACAGACATGGGAACACAGACATTGGGAGACTAGGGGACACTGGCTGGGAGACAGACACTTGGGGACACTGGGAGACATGGGGACAGTTGTGGACATAGACATGTGGACACTGGGACATATAGGGACTCTGGGAGACATGGGGACACCAGGCACACTGAGACACTAAGAACACAGACACTGGGAGACATGGAGACACTGAAACATTTGGAGACACTAGGGACACAGACACTGGGAGATTAGGGGATACTGGGAGACTACGGAACACTGGCTGGGAGACAGACACTTGGGGAGACATGGGGACAGTTGTGGACATAGACATGGGGACATTGGGACACATGGGGACACTAGGCACACTGAAAGACATGGGACAGACACTGGGAGACTTGTGGACACTGAGATCCTAGGGACACTGGCTGGGGGACATAGTGTCTCCGTGTCCCAATGTCTCCAAATGTCCCTATGTCTCACAGCGTCCCAATGTGTCTCAGCATCCCCATGTGTCCCCTGGTGTCTCAGTGTCCCCATGTTTTCCAGTGTCTGTGTCCCCAGGTCTCACAGTGTCTGTGTCCCCATGTGTCCTAGTGTCTCAGTGTCCCCTAGTGTCTGTGTTCCCATGTGTCCCCTAGTGTCTGTGTCCCCATGTGTCTCAGTGTCCCCAAGTGTCTCAGTGTTCCCAGGTCTCCCAGTGTCTGTGTCCTAGTGTCTCAGTGTCCCCTAGAGTATGTGTCATCATGTGTCCCCTAGTGTCTGTGTCCCCTAGTGTCTCAGTGTCCCCATGTGTCCCTGCTGCCCTTCCCCCCATCCCTCACTTACCTGAGCTGTACAGCTGCTGTCTGGACTCTCTGTGCTGTGTTGCTGCTCCCCCATGGATCAGTGAGTAGTAGAGAGAGGCAGGGATATTCTGTAACTTCCTATCCCTGCCTGTCCCCACACACAGTGACCCCTACTGGCCGGTGCTGGTATTGCAGAGTAATTTCCATTTATTCTGAGAAAATTACCTGCATTTGTATTGCCGGTATTACTGCAATACCGGCACAGCTAGGCAGCCTCAAATACCATCTGTGCCATTAAAATACCAGTCAGGTGGCAAACCTAAGAGTAGTGTGTAAAAAAAAAAAAAGTTTTTTTTTTTTTTTTAAATGGGCCTATTCCATAGGCCTGGGCCTGGAGCTGCAGCTCCATCAGCCCCTATGTTAATCCGGCCCTGTATATGGGGATAGGTGGGGGTTCTGTTCAGTATAATAGGAATTATGTATTTTTACTGTTGTTGTAAATGGAGATATTCCCTGTACCTGGAGATAATTAAGTTACCACACCCACTTAAGCCAATTATCTCCAGGATAGAGGAGAAGATAGACCGGCTGCACAGCCTAAATCTGTGGAACTGTTTTGGGCAGGAAAGCCATGCTTGCAGTCGGTCAAATAGGACTTCCACCTAATTTTTTAAACACTGGACCAATTTGTATGATTTTGACATATGTTTGTATACTGCTTATGCTGGTTCAGAATATGTGACTTTTATGTAAATTGCATGTATGGTTTGGAAGTTACGAATATTGTATAAAACTGTATATTTTCCTGCCTGTGATAATTGAGTTAACCCATTGTGTTCAGTAATTATATCACAGGCAGAGGGGAGGGTTTGTGTGCCTTAACTGGGAGTGTCTGACTGTACTGTAATGTTTTGATTGGCTATTGTAACTGCATGTCCTGTGTACCACAAGGTCCACGTGGGTGGTAACCTTGTGGAAAAACCTGCATAAAAGAAAGCCCTTTGGTGCTCATTAAACAGATCATCTTGTACGTTCATGAAGTTTTGGCTCATGTTTGGGGGATGAGAACTACACTCTGGGGATTGCTATAATCACTATACCCCCAGGGTATAATCACTAAGCTCTGCTAAGAGCTTGTTCCTGTTCCTACTCTCTGGAATTCGGAGAGCTCGACCTACTGGAAGCTGGACCCTGGTCTTTGGTCCAGAGTGGGTGGAGACGGCGAGACCCCAACCAAGCTGGGGCGGTTCCTGGGGTCTGCAGTGGTTATGGTGTCAGATGGAGTGCTTGGAGCCCTCGGAAAGCACTAGGGGCATCCATCAACGGAAGGTACCCGGTCGGGGGGGAGGGGGGGGGGGCAGGCGTTCTGTTACACTTATCACATCATAATCATTACTGCAGGGTTATGATTTTTGGAGTAACACGTTCATAATGTAATAATTCATGCTGGGTCTGTAAACTTAGAGAGACCATTGCCTCCCTCCCACTGAAAGTCAAATGACTATGAATAAATAGTCCTCATCAACCTACTGTTCCAGTCATAGAAAAGAAGAATCCGCCCCCACTTCCACTAGACTGCAAGCTCTTTGAGCTGGGTCCTCATCAACCGATTGTTCCTGTAACATGTTGTCATTGTCTCACTCATTGTTACATGTCAACCTTTTTATGATATTGTAAAGCGCTGCAGAATATGTTGGCGCTATATAAATACTGATAATATATATAATAACCCCCCCCCCCCCAAGGACCCCATTAATTAATACCACTGGGGACTGATTTTTGTGGAATTTGGGTCCAGCATCCAGAAGACAAACTGGACCAACTAATTCCCACAATCTGCCCACCCTGCTCTGAGCTATGGTGCACGTGTAGTAGATGGACCCCCTTATAATATATAATATGTATGATATAGAGGATGGTGCTTGGTATCAGCTGTCCCTCTGTCATTTCACACAGCTGTTTGTCGCGTCTTTATAACTTAAAAAAAACAAAATAAATAAAAATAAAACATTTATCTGCAGTAATTCACCAACAACAACCAAAATACCAAGTCTAAAAATTGTATAATACCCTCCCCCCTCCCCCAGACATGGACTGTTCTTCCTAATAAAGTTGATTTAAGAAAAAAAAAAAAACGCAGCAACGCAGACGGAGAGACACGTTCTCGGCTTAGGGTGAAAAAAGGGAGGGGAGGGAGGAAGGAGGAGGAACGTACCACTGTGAGAGAAAGGACAGGGGTGAATTCTGACACGTGACCGATCGCTGTGCTAGCGAATGGCAGCGCTCTGCCTGCGTGACCCCCCTCCCCCACACCCCCCTCACAGTGAGTGCCGATGGTGTGTTCCCGGGTGTGGGCAGCACTTCCGGTGTGTCCGCCCGCCCGCCTGCCTCAGTGAGTGTGACCGGTGCGTGTCGCACGGAGCTCGGGTTGTCACACAGGCGCATTAACACCGCTCGTCTGCCCAGCATGGCCGAACCCGAGGAGAGGAGCCTGGACGACTTCTTCGCCAAGAGGGACAAGAAGAAGAAGAAGGAGAAGGGGTCGGCGGCCGCGGCTGCAGCCAGTGCGGCGGGGAGCAGGGGGGCCGCCAGGCCGCCGGAGGGGCTCCAGACTCTGGTCTCCTCCTCGGCCTCCGCTCCCGGCCAGAGCAAGTTTACCAAGAAGGAGCGGTCCGGGCGGAGTGACGGCCAGGACCCCCAGCAGGAGAAGAAGGTGAGCGCTCCCCGGCCTGCTGCCAGGAGGGGGCGAAAGGCATCACGGGAGCTGTAGTTCTCTCGCAGCTGGCGGTGTGCTCGGCGGCCTCTCTCGCAGTTCAGGCTCTCCGGTTGTCCCGGGCTCCGTTTCCCAGAAGGCCCTGCCATCCGAGCTGCCCTCCGGACACGTGCAGAGCAGCCTAGGCCGGAGCATGACCACCCTCCGGCTGTTGTACAACTACAACTCCCATGATGCCATGCCAGCCTGCTATCACGTGACTAACACTCTAATTATAACGTGGCAATCTGCAGGCTGGCAGAGAGTCAGGGGAGCTGTGCTTTAATATTGGTGGGGGGGGGGTGGGGTCTGGCCTGTGGCGTGCTGGACCTGGTCTGGGTTTTTTTTTTTTTTTTTTAATGATGGGCAATGGATAGAATAGACTCTGGCTCTAATGAAAGATTGTAATATTTGAGAAATTCTGGGAAATATAGATTTTATATCTTTTTTTAAGTTAATCATTTATGGCATTGAATCCTTATAACATTTGTTTAAACCTGTGTGTGGCAGAGGGAGCTGGAGATCCTTCTTACATGATCTTTTAATCTCAACTACATTGCATATACCAGGGGTGCCCAAAAGGTAGATTCCCAAATGTTTTAGAACTACAACTCCTATGATGCTTTGCATGCCACTTTAGAATAGCAAAGCATTATGGAAGTTGTAGTTTTCAAACATCTGGGATCTACCTTTTGGGTACCCCTGTCATATACTGTAGCTCCTTTGATATTCCTTTGCCGAACACATCTCACGCTTACTGGAGATATGTGTGTATGTGTGTATATGTGTATATATATATATATATATATATATATATATATATATATATATATATATGTATGTATGTATGTGTGTTAGTCGATCTGTTAAAAGATAAGTACCATAACTCTTTTTAAACTCAAAGGTATGAAAGCCTGGCTATGCCAGGGCAGTCCTGGCACTGTAACTCAACCATAAGCTTGCTAAAAGCTGTTTACCTGAAATGGCAATATTTTACATTGTCAGAATGCAGAGCGACCACACGATGAGGTGATTTTTGGTGGTTGATTCTTATTCATGGAAAATAGGAATAAGTGTTCACATGTGCATGAAAGGCATCAGGTTCATTTTCTAGCACTTTCATATTTTTCCCTTATGACTAAAAACAGCGACCAGAAAGTGCACACAATTGTGTTCTGGTAAACTCTTTTCTAATGTGTTTTTTTTATACTTGCAGGATGGTAGTAAGGTGTGACATCTTAAAACATTTAAGGTGCCTGTTACAAAATAGCTACATGGTGCAAAAAAAGAAAAATAATTCTAGCTTTTCTGAAAGCTGAGAGGAGGTAGGGATCAGTGCACAGCAGACCTGGATAAGTCAAACTGTTACTAAATTGTTTGATTACTTACATTGGAGTATGCCAGGGCCCTAGTGTTTCTGACACTCCTGGCACCATAACTGTCGTATTTTTGTACTTGATATCACAATCTGGTGCCCAATGACCTTCTATTACAAAGCAAAACAAATTACTTTCTGTACAATGTCTGGCCCAATTTATTTGTGGCACATAAACTAAATGGCACTCGACAAGGTGTTTGAAATGATTGTCAATGAAAACTCACACCTTGGAGTGGTGGGGGGTCATCCATCCATCCCTCCTTAGGAACATCATATAAAGGCACAAATCAATGGTGACTAAAAACCTCAAAAATAAAATATAGTGGTATCAGCTTCTTCAGTAAAATTAATCATAACCTGTATCCACATAGGGAACACTAAGTGTTGGTGCCTATGGTGATACATGTTATGATTAATTCTACTGAAGAAGCTAGTACCACTATATTTTATTAACAAGAGGGACAAGAATAACCATCTGTAGAGATGCTATATTAAAATGTATTATCTAGCTTATCTAACAATGGTGGGGCTACAAACACAAAATAAGAAGGAATTCCAGTCTCACATTGTTGGGAGATCATATGAAGGCAAACATCAATGGTGACTCCAACAGTCTATGACTGTTATATATAGGGAACACTAGGTGTTGGTGCCTATATATCTCTATCTATATCTATCAGTCATAGACTGTTGGAGTCACCATTGATGTTTGCCTTTGGGGGAGAAAACTTGAGTAAAATTACCTTTTCAGTGCAGTCTAAACGATTAGTGTAACCTTATAGGTTTAGGAATACATGTTTCTACTCCTGAAACCCAAGTATTCCTGTGTGTGTACACACAATTATAAAAGAAAGTGTGAGTGGCTCATGATGTATGTGTAAAGGGGTACTCCAATTGGACTTAATAAATCCTCCCTTCACCAGTGACCACTCTCCTTTTAAAATATTCTCTCCCTCCAACAGTGCAAGCCCTCTACATCTTTTGTTTCCTCTGTGTGATTTAATTTTCCCTCCCCTTGTCAAACGCCCACCCAATCCACCATCGCCCCCCTCTCTTCTCTGACGAATTAATTTCAGTGATTCTATGTTTGTTGTTTAATAATCTTTTATTTGCCAGTGGTAGGTGAAAATTTGAGCCCGACTTTACAATTTAAAGGCTGGATTCCACATCCCTGCACAAATGTCGCATCAATTTGTCGTTTTTATTTATTTATTCTTTGTCTCTCACTTGACTGTTAATAGATATTTGAATCCAAACATTAGTTATTGCTGTCAATTATTTTTATGGTGTTTGGTCTATGGATTAAAATATAGAATGTCCATGCATGCTTCCATTGCTGTAGAACACACACATGCATACTTTCACAAGAAAAACAAGCCATGTAATTTAATCCAGGAGATCCCAATCATAAAGGCACAATAAGTCCATGTTTTCTAAGTATCCCCAGTTTAATGTGTGAATTCTGGGATCATTGGTGTGTCCTGAAGATTGAGCTGGTTATCACTTTACTCATTGATGCACATTGTTGGCATGGGAGATACTCTGGAAGGTCTTTGGCAGTGAATTACACTAAAAACAAATTGGGGTTTTCAACACCACCACACTCCCAAGCATTTTATAGTTACTAAAAGTTTTAAATTTTTTTCATAATTTTTAGGAAGATGATGAATGGAAAGATTTTGAGCAGAAAGAAGTGGACTATACCGGTCTTAGGATTCAGTCGTTACAAATAAGGTAACTGATCTACATTTAAATGTTTGTTTTTGGTTTTTCTCTGTCGCAACTGATGTGTAGCATTGTCAACTGTGTTTTTAAGCAGTACTCTTGAACGTGTTCACATAGTGACTATGGAAAAGTTTTGACCAGTCAAGTTTGTAGTCCCTCAGTCTTGTTCCAAAATAGTGTGTGCCAGATCTGCAGCGTTTCTGTTTAGTTTGCCTGCAGTTGTGTAACATAAGGGAACACAGTTTGTGGGCTACAAGCAGTAATGAGACTCTTGGGGGTGGAGTCGCGTTGAGGTTCACCTGAATCTCAATTTAAATTGCTCACAATTGTGCTATATTTACATATATGCCAAATAATAGTTTAATGTATATACTTTGGTTGAAAATGTTTTTTTGTTTTTTTTAAAACCCATTACCCACATTAGGCACTGGAAGTGCACTCCAGCACCCACTTTCATGTATAAATACTTTAGTTTGTTCTGCTCCTTTTGACTTTTGCCTACATTGTGTCCTACTCTTCTTATAACATGACTACGTATGTGGCTTCTAAACGCTTTAAAGAGATTCTCATCACACCTCGCTCCTGTAGTGGGAATATGCAGTGGAGACATAGATCTGAGGCTCCCTTGGTGGATCTGAGAGCACAGCCCACCACATCCTACTGCTGTAGATGAGCTCTGTTGTATGTATTTACCTGCGGCGCTTCTGTATAGGTCGTCTGTGGGACATACATATGGGAACCCAGTTTATGTGGGCTACGAGCATTAGTGAGACCCTTGGGGGCGGAGTCTCCATGAGGGTTACCGGATCCTTCATGTAAATGGCTCAGTACAAGAGCAACAAAATCCTGGATGGCGAATTTTTACAGCGAATCTCCCTCGCTTGGACTCACTCTTCCAGAGTTTGGCCATGTTGGGTACATTTCTAGGTTTTCTATTGATTGTTAAATAGCTGGGCCTGAATGCTGTAGAATACTCACGTTTTGGTCGTGGGAGTAATCCATGGATTTACTATCCCACTGTTACAGACTCGCACAATTTCACAAACAATTAACCTGTCTGTCCACCTTTCCTCCATTCTTAAAACTCACTCCCAATCTTGCCCCATGTTGTAGCAAAGTATATATTTTTATTTCCCATTCTGTCTTTCTTCTCTTTTCCTCTTTCTTAATTGTCCTTTTGAAGTACTAATTAGTCAATGATTGCCCCTTCACAGAAGTCCCTTAGGCTATGTCAAATGTACTATAGCAAACCACTTTTGAAGTACTTGGTGCACCTAACCCTAAACAAAGCTAATTTACAGCCTCAACACCACTACACATTAAAGCCTTTAGGGCTGGGTCTCTAAAAGTAAGGGGGGGTGACATTAATGTCCCCTTGGGCCAGTCAGTAGATGCCGTTGGGGGTGGAGAGTGTCTACAGTTCCACATAGATGACTGAACACCATCAGCTGATATTTGTGATGTCTAGGCATAGGCATGGTGAACGTCTTGCAAGCACTGCACCTGGAGAACTGGGATTATTTAAAATTTTCCCTATGGTACACAATTCCTGTGGCCTCATTGACTACATCGTTTTAGCACCGGAATAGCTCCCTAAACTCACCTCAGCTACGGTAAAGTCTTCCACCTGGTAGGATCACTCACAAAATCTGTATGGATCCAGTCCTGTGTCTCCCATCCCCTCTAAGCTGACTGAAAAATACCAAAAAATGAATTACTCTTTCCCCTTGGAATATGAGCTAGTGATAGACACAAACAATGCTGACATGTCATTCTTGTAGACTAGGGACCCCTAGTCACCTTGATTGGGGGGGTGAATTTTTATTTAGGGCCCCCACCCACCGCTCAGGTCCGCCCCCCTATTGTTTTTTTAGGGCCCCCACCCACCGCTCGGGGGGGGAGGACAGTAGGTGTCCCGGCCCCCACCCACTGCTCGGGGGGGACAGTAAGTTTTCCCCCCCTCCACCATTCCTATATAGGGCCCCCACCCACTGCTCAGGGGAGAGGTAGGTCCCCCTCCTTATTGTTTTTAGGGCCCCCACCCACTGCTCAGGGGAGAGGTAGGTCCCCCTCCTTATTGTTTTTAGGGCCCCTCCCACCGCTCGGGGGAGGACAGTAGGTTCCCCCCTTATTGTTTATTAGCGCCGCCACCCACCGATCTGGGGACAGGTTCCCTTATTGTTATTTAGTATTTTTTTTTTTTTTTAAACAGTGAGGAGCCACAGGCTGCTCACTGTTTAGTGGACATGCCCCTACTCGCGGTATAGCGAGTAGGGGCATTGGGGAGATTTTAATCTCCCTTATGCTATTATGGGGGTCATATTGACCACCATAGAGTGAGGGGGGACCTGGGGGCTTATGAAGTGGCGGGGAGCACTGCTCCCTGACGCTTCTATCTTTACATATTACAAGGAGGGAGCTGTGTGCCGGTAGCTCCCTCGTTGTAATAAACTAAACGAACACTGATATTCAGTGTTTTTCTTCATCTGACATTTCTATTCATTCATTAGTCTTTCTGACGAATTAATGAATAGATGAAATTCCAGTTCGCATGTCCAAGTGTTTAACTGGGCATGTGCGGGAATCTCAGTCTATCTAGTGTGGGCAGATGACGTGTCCCACAGGGACTTCATCTACCCACATAAAGATGGCGGCGCCCTGAATATAGATCGGAACAGAACATAAAGATTAAAAAAAATAGGTAATATGGGGAGCTTACAGGCATTTGGGGGTGACTAGGGGGTCAATTAGAGATAGTGGAGGCGGGAGGGGGGTTTAAAAAAAAAAAAGTGATTCGGCCATGACAGTGCCGCTTTAAAGACATTTCATATCTGTCATCATTCGTTGTCCACTTCCTTTTGCATTGATTATGCTTCTAGTAGGCTGTGAGCAGAGTCCTTGTTCTTGGTTAAAGTTTCCAATGTCTTAATCAAAGCCAGGGTTTCCTGCGATGTGCTGTGCAGCTTTTGATCTGTTTCTTGGTCATATGGATATTATATGGCTACTGCTACGCAAATGTAGTAGATGAAAAAGTAATGAATTCCTTTGAATTGTTGTGCTATGTACATAAAATGATTATCTAGGCACCAGAATCACATCTTAACAGTAATGCCACTGCAGATTGCTTATGAAAAGTGCTGTTACTGAGAAATGGCACTTTACATTTTTCAATTTTCACACTTGCTAATGGTTGTCTGACTGCTGCTACAGGACTCAAGTAATTTAAATCAACTGAATCTTTTTGACCTCTACTATAAAGTAAGCTGATTCTAAAAGCAGTATGAATTCAATGCTTCTCTTTGAAAAGGCTATTGGACACAGCGTTCTGGTGCTATCCTATAGAATGCTCGTTTGAGCAGGGTCCTCTTCAACCTATCGTTCCTGTTTTTTTTGTTTTGTTTTTATTGTCCTATTTATAGTTAAATACCCCCTCTCATATTGTAAAGCGCTATATAAATGGTGGTAATAATAATTTAAGGTTAGATATGCCATGCCTTGCAGGAAGCAGCAGTTTGATTTATCATGGCTGGGGCTATATTGCCAAATTTGCTCTTACAGAAGTTTATGCTTTTACAGTTAGGCGACTCTAAGGGAGTATTGCTTGCTGCCCTTTAAAGGGACACTTGTCATCCTGACCGTTTCATCTCATTGAATCCTGACTCTTTCACCTCATTGAAGTGGTCTGGGTGCAGAGTTCCTGTCCAATTACTCCTGCAATGTAAACATTGCCGTTTTTTGAGAAACTGAAAGGCCGCTTCTGGGATTCTAGCAGACTGAGTCCCTTAAACAACGCTGGACATACAGCATCATAGGAAATCCCCATAGGAAAGTATTGATGCTCACTCTGTCAGATGAATAGGGTAAATAGAGGTTTTTTTAACCCTTTATGTGCTGCAAGGGGAGCCTGGGAAGGAGGGGTGAACCAAAGGGTACTATAGTTTTATCAATGCAGATTTGAATTGTAACCTATAGAATCCCTTTAGGGCTTCTAAGCAGCATGTTGAACTCCCTACCCAATTGCATACATTGCTTACACACTCTTATCTGTTTCTTTGCTACATTGTATTATTGTGTTTTAAGAGGTCTCTAGGAGTCAGGACTTTTGTATAGTAATGAGGACTGAGTTTGACCAGGTAATTAACATTTGTTTTTGTTTTTTAAATACATTTTTAAAGCAATGAAAAAGATGATGATGACTATGAGAAAAAGGAAGAGCAAGGTGCTGACTGGGAAGACAATGTAGGTTACGGCTCAGAAAAGACATCAGGTCCTTGGAATAAGTCTGCTTCTGCCCAAGCACCTGTAAATGTTGGTAAGATAATGGGCTTTTCTTTTTAAATTGTTTTCTAAATACAGTCAAATATTGATGTATTTTCCTTTTTCAATATACAGTAAAACGTGTATTGTTTAATTTTTATTCTGGCTTTCTCATTCTTTAACTATTACACTTGAATGCACAATTTCACTGACTGCTAAATTCTATGATTGACTGTCCATCCTTCCTTTGGATCGACTTCCTGCTATAGGCACATATACCATGCCATAAATCGTAACTCAGTGTCAGATGTGCATGATGTTTGTAGGTGTTTGCATTCTGTGTCATTTAACGTTAACTCCAAAGGGTTCCATTAATATACCTTTTCACCATTAAGTTGCAGAAGTTCCAGAGCCTGTACAGTCAAGTGGTGTATACAGACCTCCAGGAGCCAGAGCCTCGGCTACAACTCGAAAACCACAAGGTCCACCTGAAATATTTAGTGATTCACAATTTCCATCGCTACAATCCACTGCCAAACATATAGAATCCCGCAGGTAAGTACTCTTATTTCATTACCTTTAATACTTAGAACTGTGGTTCTTGTGCTACTCAGTCTACTTTTTTCAAGTGCCCAAGTAATTGCTCAAATTTATTGTGACTGCCTTTCTTACATGAAGACTCCTTTTAAGATTACATTATAGTTCTGCATTTTCTGTGGGCTAAATTTTGTAATTGTGTGATAGGTTTAGGTTCACATTAAGGTCCACATTGTTCTGCCTTCTAGCTTTAAAAGGGCTCTGCATGTATGGATTTGTGTTTTATTGCTTTATAGAATTATGCAGTGGCCATTTCACAAAAGTATTTAAATGAACTATGGAGCAAGTGGCAGTTTAAGCGTTGCTGGAAAATTTGTTTAGAGATCAAAGATGGGGGATTTAATGCTTCAAGGAACACTATAGGATCAGGAACACAAACTTGTATCAGCATCTCCTCGTAGAAATGCATTGTCAATGCATCTCTATGAGGAAAGTTCAGTGACTGCACGCAGAGAGTGGAGACACTGAATGTCCGTACAGCACTGCCCCAGGAAGCTCCTCGAGTGGCCAGTGAAGTTATCACTAGGCTGTAATGTAAACACTGCATTTTCTCTGAGAAAACAGTGTTTACTGCAAAAAGTCTGAAGAGAATTATTATACATACCAGAACAAATACAATAAACTGTAGTTGTTCTGGTGACTATAGTGTCCTTTTGAAGCATAATTAATTATTTTATAAATTAATAAACTGAAATAGGTAATTTTGCTCTTAATAGTTTATGTATCACTTTCAAATGCTCGAATATTAACCCCTTAAGGACACAACTTATAAAATAAAAGGGAATTGTGACGGAATATTTGTCATGTGTCCTTAAGGGGTTAAGTACAAATGTTTTCATCCAGTGTGATCATATTTATTTTTATTCCAATTTCCTCTCACCACCTCCTTCCCCTCCCCCTTCTTGTATTAGGGATAAGGAAATGGAGAAGACATTTGAAATAGTAAAGCATAAAAATCGTGCAAGAGAAGAGGCTGCAAAGAATCAAGCTCTACGACTTCAATTGGACAATCAGTACGCAGTCCTAGGGGAGCAGTAAATGTTCAAAATACAATAAGTGAGCTTTGATAACCCACCCACTAAAGTAAACAAACTACAGCTACTGGCTATGGACACAACATCAGAACCATGCGAATGTCCTCCAGAATGCACTGGATGATGCAAACAATTGGATTCTCAAGACTTGCGGAAGAATTAAAACACAAATTGCAAACTTTTTAACTATTTTTGTTTTCTTTGACCTTTTAGCCCCACCTTTGCATATGGGAATAGTCACCTTCGAGGTGCTGATTACTGAACATGTATTCCTGGTGTGTTATAGCCATTATGCTTCAATCTAAGAACAGAAAAGCAGCATTCAGTGGTTATTAAAATCTTTTAATGTGGAGCCTTCAAAATGGCTGACTACCTCAGTTTTGCTATTGTTATAGCAGACACCACATGGATTGCAGGCGCTTTATAAAAAGATGTGGTTGGATCTGTTTCTAGTGGTTATGATGTTGGGGCAAAAAGTGGATTTCTCTTTTTATTCTCCAGGTGGAGGAGGAAGGAGGATGTTTTTTTTACTTTAAGGTTTTTTCTTTTTTCCTCTTTCTACACCTACTGAGACAACTCTTAACACACCGATTTTTCAAAATTCTATTTGTCTCCTTTTGTCAATGATTTAAGTGACCTTAAAGGGATTATTAGCAGTGGCCCCATTTATGCTTGTTCAGTTTTTTTTCCTTTGTTTTTTTGCATTGGTAATACACACGTCTCTTTATAGAAATTGCCACAAAGCTGTAGTTTGTTGCTTTTTGTATAGGGTAAATGTCAAACAGCAAGTTAATAGACACAGACCGCTCTGCTGAGGGGCAATTGGGAAGTAGCTATATTTGTTTCTCATAGTTAGACTTTATTTCTGAAATATACTGCGATCTGAACACTTGCATTTGTGCGCTAGTTAGTGCCTCAGCGCACTAATATCCAGGTCCCTAGAACAATATTATGCAAAAAAAGTTTCCACCACTGGTTTCTAGACCTTAATGGGACTTTACTAAAAATTGACTCCCATTTAAATCAGATCTTGGTGTATTTTTATTTCCCCCCCTCCCATCTATACTTTGGGTTAGCCATATGGATAGCGAATGTTTATATGTAGAGGGTTTTTTTTTTTTTTTTTTTTTTACTGTGGCCACTCCAAAGTAGTGGTTAAGGTGCGCCAGTCTTGTCATAGATGGTAAGCGGTCCTTCATACAATACATCATGGGACAATAGGCACAATTGTCAGTACAACCAATACTAATGTAAGTGGCCAAGATAAAAAAAAAAAATCTACCTCTATCATAGAACTGCTAGTTGTCTGGTAGGCACACTATAGAAATTAACAGCTCATTTAAACAGGACACAAACAATTCATATGATAGAGTAAGAAAAGATGCAGTGTATGTTGTGTGAAGACTGATTTACAATACCACATTCTTTGTGCTTGAAATTTCAGTTTTCTTAAAGGAACACTCTTCCTAACTGCTTCTTCTCATTAAAACAGTTTCTGGAGTCCACCAATGTTCGTGTTTGTTTTTTTTACATTAAACAGTTTAATGTTTTAATGCTCAATGGGAGTCCTTAGGAGCCCATCCTCTTTGTACTAATTGGACTAATGAGGAAGCAGTAGCCAAAGCAGCAGTGGGTACCTGTCAGCTGACTGCTTTTAGACTATTACAGTGCCAATTGCTGGTATGGATTGAGATGTGTGTAATATCTGCCTTAGCCATAATTCCAGTAGGGGCTGGCCTGATGGTGGTCAGTGTTAAACTGCTCTGAAAATAGCTTAACAGTAAACGGAGGGATAGCGCCAATGACCCCAGCTATTATAGCCAATTCAATGAGTTGAAATTGTTCTAGTGCCTTCAGTGTTCCTTTAAACGGGGACTGTAGCCACTTTAACAATTTCATCTTATTGAATTGGTTATGGTACCTGGAATTTACCAATGCGTTCCCTCCGTTATTTGTGAAACCATTTTCAAACTTAACACTGAATGAGGGTCCCTGGCCACCCATAGCAAATGTCCCCACTGTAGGTGTGGCTAAGGCAGAGATTACACACTTCATTTCAGTCATTGAAAATTATACCAGCAATGAATGGCTGTGACTTGCTGAGTGTCGTCTACCTTTGCATCCATTGCTGCTCAGGCTAATGCTTAATTAGTAAAATCAGCACAGATGGGATGGGTTGCTGGAGCCTCTTGTTTAGCACTAAAACTTTAAAAAACACTTACTGTTAAATGAAAGGATAGCATCAGGGACTCCAGACACAAACTACTGCAATGGGAGTAAGCAGTTATGGTGCCAATTTAAGATGCAGCCTCCACACCAAGTGCCATGCTTCAAGAGCTTTGTGATTTAATGAGCAGTTACATTTAGCAATGGAGATTTTCTTTGTGAAATATAGGTTTGCTTTTAAGCTTACCTGTAACCTGTGCTGCAACAGGCAATGCTTGGCAAGCAGTAGTGTCTATGTAAGGAGGGAGTGCAGGACAGTTAAAATAGTGCTTTGTTGTGCTCAGCACATTTTTGTCATCCTTACAATTGTATTTCACTCTGAAGGTAGATTGCAGACTGCATGTTTTAAGGATTTCCAGTCCTCTTTATTGAAACGTGACAAGTCGGCTTTAAGCAGTTACTTAATATGGTTGTATGTGGGAAGGTTGCTATATTGGCTTTTTGCAAAGCTGTTTTCTTTTCATGCCATGGTAAGGATAATGTGTTGTGTTTTTTTTTTTTTTCAAAGCTTTTAACCTCCTACATCATTAGCCTTTCTGCTAACACAATACATATATTAAATTTTCCTGCTCTCTGGGCCTTCCCAAATTTCACATTAGAAATTTTGTTTGCACTGTATCCTGGTCATGTGTGAACATGCCCAAAATCTTTCTGCACTGCCCTATGGGGAAAAAAGGGATTTGCTGCGTGCCACATCTGAGAAAGTGAAAGTTTTGCGCATGGCCTGTAATGCAGAACTGAGCCACTGAGTTTTCAGTGTATGTTTAACAATTGGCATGTTAAATGGTCAGTTTGTTTTTGTTTAACAATAAGGACTTGAGTCCATAATGTATAACTTCATATCCTATTCTGTGGAGGGTAATTAAATTCTACGCCAAAATCTGTCATTGCCTCCTCAGGTAGCGATTAAACGAATGGTGTTAACTCTTCTTGATATCTTCCTTTAAAAATTGTACGTCAAGAATACACAAAGATTTTAAAGACCACTTTATTGTAACCCGTGCCAATATTCTCGCTCAGCAGGGGGCAGCGTTCGTCAAAGTGACCTCGCTGTGAGTGCTTTCTTGCATATCTTGAATTGTAGAAGGTGTAATTTGGCATATTCAAAGAACCTGAATGTGGTGGGTTTTTTGCCTCCCCATGTTTGAGCTGAATGTTGGCTTTTGAACTTTGCATTATCCTTGGAGGCACTTTATCTACAGTGTTCTCTTTAATGTGATCACCATATGCATTGAAGAGTTTTAGCACATCTCCTCATCTCCACCATCATTTTAATCTAGCACATCAAGGTACTGCCACAGCGAAATCTTGCCAACTAAACCATGAGTCTCATTGCAGGTATGTTATTAAAAATGGAAACTGAAATTATTTATGTGGAATGTTTGGTAGAATGTAGAAGTTTAACTATCTCATGGCATACTTTAAGCATATGAAGACCAGTAAGATTTCATATTTTAAATCCTTCCCCAGGACTTTTTTTTTTTTTTTTTTTTGTGGGAAAATGTATCTAGGTTTTATATCATGCTGTTGCAATTGGTAGTTGGACTGTCCTGTATGGGCTACTCAGGCATGGACTACGCAGCCGGAAAATAGAATCTGTGACTTAACTAAGCCGAATTAAAATTTAACTCTGTCTATACATTGTCATCTTGTCTGGTTTTTATTGTTATTTTTTTATACAAGTGAAAGAACAGCGGTAATTAAAGGGACACTATAGGCACCAAAACAACTTTAGCTTAATTAAGCAGTTTTGGTGTATAGATCATGCTCCTGCAGTCTCATTGCTCAACATTCTGCTATTTAGTAGTTTTAAATCACACTTGTTCTGTTTATGAAGCCCTAGCCACACCTCCTGTTTTTTACTCGCTGCCTGCATTAAAACAAGGTTTTGTTTTCAATCAGATGTTAACTTAATGAAAACAAGTTACCTGTGCTCTCTCCTTAATCCCTATGTATGTTTAAACAAATGGAGTTTTTTTTTTAGTTAGCTCCAATGGCCATGGCAGGTGGGATTATACTCTCATGGCCATTGGAGGTAACTAAAAAACCTCAATTTGTTTAAAAATACATAGGGATTAAGGAGAGAGTGCAGATAACTTGTTTTTTTTTGGTTTTTACTATATATTGGGGCTGATGTGTACTGTAGTCATTGCTGCCGCCCAGTGATGGGAGTGAGCACAGGACTTGTCTTTCTGCAGATGTTAACTTACTTTACAAGTTTTTATTTCATGCTCTGTAAAGTGAAACACACATGAGGCTCCTGCAAGGCCTAGCAAGCTATTAACAGAGCAGGAGATAGGACATTCAAAATTAAGGCCTGCATAAACAAAGTGATTTAACTCCTAAATTACAGAATTGAGCATTGAGACTGCAGGGGTATGATCTATACCAGGCATAGGCAACCTTTGGCATTGCAGATATTTTGGACTACACCTCCCATGATGCTTTGCCAGCATTGTGTTAAAGAGCTTTATGGGGGATGTAGTCCAACATGTGGAGTGCCAAAGGTTGCCTACCCCGATCTATAAACTAAAATGTATTCATTAACCCCTTAAGGACACATGATGGAAATATTCTGTCATGATTACATTTTATTTCAGAAGTTGTGTCCTTAAGGGGTTTAAGTAAACTTTTTAATTTTTTTATTTATTTTAGCTGTGCATGAATGTTATAAGTATGCTTGCAGTGCCACAACAGCTAGTGCAGGCATGTCAGTACACGGGGAAAAACATAGCACACTTTTTAAAATTATTGTAGAATGACAAAACTAGCTAGGCCTACCACTGCTAGTTGGAGTGATGTCATCCAATTGTTAAAATGTGTCCTAACGAACATAGTAAAAACTGCAATTGGTTGTAGCGTGAGGGTAGGCACTAGTAGCGGAAACCATTAAGTGATGATGAACTACAGATTATCCAGCAGTAAACCCTGGCTTGGGTAAAGGGGGTAAAAAATGGGTATTTTGGTGATCCCTTTCTTTTAATTACATGCCCTGTTTGCCAGGTGTCTGCATGGTCTACGACCCCTAACCTGGGGGGCAGGGGTGGTGGTGGTGGAAATTGCCAGGGCAGTAACCCTATTGTGATGGTGTCGTGCATGGGGTGGGGGGTACCTGTGTAGCCTTTGGTTAGGCACTGTCATAGTGGGGGTGCGCTGTAGAACGATAGACATGTAGAGTAAACTGGAACTTAAAAACTGGTAAGTTTTTGTGTACTAGCAGAAGTAAACATATGTGCGTATGAATTTTAGTTGAGTTCTGATTTAAAGTTGCTGCAGTTGGGGCTCCTCTCCTTAGTGGTACAAAAGGGACAGTCCTTGTCTGGTCCCAAGTGTGAGAAGTGTTGGGTGCTTCAGGGAGCCACAGAGCATGAAGGAAAGAGTCCGCTTCCATGATAGAGGAGAGCTACATCGTGGTGCCGTTGTGCACTACTGACAGGGCTTTAGGCATTGTCAAACGGTAGTCCATAACGGTCAGTTACCGATTGAACCTCTGTCCTCATTAGGGCCATGTCAGGGGCAGACATCTGCTTCAATTCTAGCAGGCAGCTCTTAATATCCAGTTTGGTAGTCAGTCAACACATCAGGAATTATCTGTGCGTCCGAGTGTGACTGTGGATCCGAGGCTTCCATCAAGGCTTGCGCTGAGCAGGTGGAGCCAGTGTCTAGTTCAGGCATGGCAGCCATCATTGGGGCACTGAAGCATGGTACCTATAATTCCTAGATTTTACTAGTATCATGACGTAAAGTCATGATTTTATTAAAGACACGGAGGCGAGTATTATGCATAACTCTTTCTTTATTTCCTCAGCAGCAAAGATAGAGGAATATAAATATCAAATTGAAAGCAAAAAACTGTATAAGTACACAGGCAACCAATAGCATAACATAGGAAGTGGCTATATAAGGCCTGTGTCTCCCACAATCCCCCTCTTTCTTGCGAAAACCGAGGACCAGCTAAGACGAAACGATATCCCACATGGTCAGAAACAGGAACGGAAGCGCTTCAACAACTTCAAGCTAAAAGAGAGAGAGAAATATGGTAATAACTAAACCCAAACTGTTGCTTACCAGTCAGAACTGTTGGTCATTCATGAAACTGAAACGAAATCTGAAATTACAACATATGATTGACATCAAGCAGTTATATGCTTCAAACGAAAGTCAAGACAAATAAGAGGACCAAAATGTAACATACCTGGAAAAATCCAAAAAAGCGCATCTCCCTCGCAAACCCCCACACCGGGAGGGTGGGAGGGAATAATACTCGCCTCCGTGTCTTTAATAAAATCATGACTTTACGTCATGATACTAGTAAAATCTAGGAATTTTATTAAAGACACGGAGGCTCATATTATGCAAGTTCAAAGCTGTGCTACTATCCGAGATGCGATGTGTTCAATTGGTCTGAAATAGAAGTCTCGGAAGGTGGACTCACGAGACCAGTCTGCAGCTCGCATGATGTCCTCCAGACGGCAACCCACTAAAGATGCCTTCGAGGCCATGGCACCCCTCACGGAGTGAGGCGTAAAGGTAGAAGTGTCTATACCTGCTAGGGATAAAAGCCAACGAATCCAACGCGCTAGCGTCGGAGTCGACACCGGTTGATGAGGTGCCTTAAAGGAAATTAATAGGGGATGACGATCAGAAGAACGAAACGTTCTTGTAGCATCCAGATAAGCCCTAAGACAATCCACCGGACAGAGTGCCGGGCACCCTGAGAACCTAGGGTACACGAAGGATTTGGATGCCGACTTAGTCCTCCTAGAGATGTTGAAAGTAACACCCTCAGGAGTAAACACGATGGCACCCCAATCCAGGGCCCTGACATCGGAGACTCTCTTACAAGAGATAAGACAAAGCAGCTTAACCAGTTTGGATGACAGCTGTTTGAGAGTCAATGCTTGGTTAGGGTACCAAGCTGATAGGAACTGCAACATTATGTTGACGTCCCAAAAGGCCGAAAAACGCGACCGGGGTGGACGGGCGAGGCGAATACCTCTAAGAAGGCGACATATAAAAGGATGCCTACCGACGGGTGTGCCTTCTAAACCATCGTGTCCGGCAGAAATGGCCGAGCGAAAAAGATTGATAGTCCTGTACGCCTTGCCCGAATCGAACAGGAACGTGAGAAATTCCAGGATCAAATGGAGAGGGGCAGATACGGGATCTATTGCCCGTTCCATGCACCAACCCGACCAAGACTTCCATGCTGCCCGATAAGCTGATCGTGTGCCCGGGGCCCACGCGTTATCGAGGAGCAAGAGAGTTGTCTGTGGAACGTTAGGGACAATCCAGCGTCCCCTGAAAGGAACCAAGCCACCAGGGGCAACTGGTGCCGCATCACCAGTTCATGCGAGTTCCCATCCGGATCCAGGAGGAGATCCGGGAAGTTCGGCAACAACCGTGGGAAGTCTATCGACAACTCCATCAGTCGAGGGAACCACGGACGGGATCTCCACAGGGGAGTGATCAGAACCAGACAACAGTCGTGGTGAACCATTTTGGAGAGTGTGCGAGCAATCATGTTGAACGGAGGAAAGGCATAGAGGCGACCCGGGGGCCATTCTTGAAGAAAGGCATCCGTCGCCACTGCCGCCGGATCTGGCCTCCAACTGTAGAATTTCGGTACCTGAGCGTTCAGCCGAGAGGCGAACAGGTCCATCTCGAAACGACCCCATAGACCTTCTAGGCCTCGGAAGACCGAGCCGTGCAAGCGCCAGTCTCCCGAGTCTCTTAAATGTCTGGAATTCCAATCCGCAGTCGAATTGTCCAGACCCGGAATATGCTCCGCCGTCACAGAGACGTTGTTGTAAAGGCAGAATTGCCAAAACTCTTTCGCCAGAAGAGCCAGGGAGAGAAGGCCGTGGGCACTCGGCGCGCAGCTTATTGCGGCCTTCTTTGGATAGGGGCGTGCGAATCCGCTTAGCCACATATTGGGCGATGTGGTCCGGAGGGACCCATTCGGCAGACCGCGGGTGACGGAGGTCGTCCGGGTCAAACATGGGGTTACCCTGTGGGTCTAGCAGGGCTTTATTGTCCCCAGCGGGGCCAGTGACCTTACCTCGGGGGTTGGCAGAGGACCTAGAAGGGGGAGCCCCCGTAGGGGGTATGTCCTCTCCCGACTCGTCATCAACAAAGGAGTCGTACTCCATAAAATCGGATTCATTTTCCACACTCCGGTCGGAATCCGACTCATCATTCAGGGCTTTAGCCAGTTTCCACAATCTAGCCTTTTTAGCCCGGCCAGGGGCTCTTGTGCGCGTGGGATGCGCGCTATCTGTGACCGCCAGAGGCGAGTCATTCATGGCAGGCAAAACCTGCATCGAGGAGTGGGAACCGATATGACGAGATTTATCCTTCGCCTTACGGGCACCCGGCACAGTATGGGCAGGAGAAGGGGACCCCACACCCAGGGGGGCAGGGGTAGCCGTGGAAGGCAAAAACCCAGATTGCAGAGACTGGGTAAAGGAGGAGGAGACAGCCCCCATAGCTGAGGCAATAGCCTTCTGAAGGGAGGAAGCCATAGTGGCCTCTAATAAGGCTTGAAACTCCTGAGATGCCATAGCACCCTCAGGGTTAACATTAGGAAAATCCCCAGAGGGATCAGTAGGCCCATCCTCCCTATCCTGCATAATGGCAGAGACACTAGAAAAACGGCACTGAACAATAAAGGTGAAAACTAAATAAGTGGGTTGATTAACCCAGCAACAACACAAAGGACCTGATCGCTGGTGTAGCAGGGAGACCCAGAGAGAACAGACCGCACGGCAGGATACTGAGCGATGCGTAGCGATCACCCAAAATGGCCGCCGTCTAAGAAAAAACGTGCACACGTGTACAGGCCCCCGGCGGGGGAAGGGGCGCGCGCGCACCTACCCGCGCGAGTAGCCTGTGAAAGGGAAAAAACGAGCACACTCAGCCGCGGTGCCGAGAGAGACCGCCGCGGCAGAGGGCAGCGCTGGGAAGCGCTCGGTTAGAGATAGGGGCGGGAGGGAGGGGAAGAGAGAGAGCCCGCGGCAGCGGGCAAAACGCCCCAGGGGGGTCCCCAAATACACCAACGATCCAGGCAACAAGAGTAAAAGACAAGCAAATAAACAATAAATAATAATGAGCATGAAGCAAAACCAGAATACACAACAAATAATACCAATAAAATGCAATGAGTAGAGAGCTCAATAATGCTACTTAGCTGTCTGAGGAAGCAGCAAAGAAAGAGGAGGATTGTGGGAGACACAGGCCTTATATAGCCACTTCCTATGTTATGCTATTGGTTGCCTGTGTACTTATACAGTTTTTTGCTTTCAATTTGATAATATTTATATTCCTCTATCTTTGCTGCTGAGGAAATAAAGAAAGAGTTATGCATAATATGAGCCTCCGTGTCTTTAATAAAATCACAGGTGTCTGCACACATCTGTTCCTACTCACTGGGATTTCCTTCCCATTTCCACCGAGGGGTCAGGTCTCCCGGTCTCTGTGTGAGAGCCCCGATGTGGCCAATGCTGTCTTGTAGGCCTTAACTTTGCGGCGCGATTTCCTGCCAGTCTGTGAGAATAAAAAAGGCATTAGTCTGACGCTGCCGGCTTGCAATGCCTGTAGGCGTTTTGGATTGAATGTTCCAAGAGTGCGGATTATAGTCTATTTTCTGTCGATAGGCAGGAGCACCCAGGAATGGTTGCTAGGCTCCACCCCCTAAGTAAACATTTTGATATGTATAGTGACATATTTTTTAATTTGGATATACTGGTATACAATGAACTTCCAAACATTAGCACTTATTGTTGCTCAAAGGATTACTCCAAGCACCATGACCATTTCAAAAAAGTTTTGCCAGCATGCTGGGGATAAAGGACCAATGACAGCATGGCACCTCTTAAATTCATTGCTGCCCAAGATCTTCCCTCCGCATATCTTTATAGATGTTGTACCTCTCTAGCGAGGAAAGTTGCCAAAGGAGGATTAGACTGTAGGGAGAACGAGCCAGCAAGGATTACTTCAACAAAAACATTGTTTTTGGTTGGAGTAACTTTTTTTTTTTTTAGCCGGCTCTGTCCCCAGAAAATAATCAATGAATATTACATATACAATTTTTATGAAATACTCATAAAAAAAATCGCAACACAATCTCTAGAAAAGAACATATGAGGTAGTGATGGCGAACCTGTGGCACGCCAAGCCCTCTGTGGGCATGTGGCCATAGGTCGCCAGGGGAGGGGGCTGCTGCTGCTGCCAGTTGGCAGCAATGCAGAGTAGGTGCCTGCCCAAAACCCTTTGTGGAGTGTTGCTGCATGTTCTCATGGCAACGCTCCACACAGCATTGCGCTGGACAACAGGAGAGCTGCAGCCAGATTTTTTTTTTTTTTTTAATTTATCTTTACCACCCCCCAAAAAACAAACAAACACACACACACACACACACACACTCTCTCTCACTCTGCAGTATGCAGTATGTCTGTGTGTACGTATTCCATTTGTTGGAGATACAAATTAATATAAGCTTAATTTTATCTATTTAAATTTGTATGTTTGAACTCTGATGTTAAATAGTTTAGACAACTGTAAGTGTTTTCTAAACGTAAACCTCAGTATTCAGGTTTAATTGCCACTTTGAGGGGAAAAAAGTTGGTTTGTATTGCGGTTTGGGCACTTGAGCTCAAAAAGGTTCGCCATCACTGATATAAGGTCTTATGTTATAGTCGAGCCTGAAGTGGACAAAAGGCGGATCTTCCACTGCCAGGTCTCCCCCCTCCTAGCCCCCTTTTTCCACAGCCGTGGCGTATGGACATCTGATGCAGTGCGAGAGTTGGTGATAGGTCACTGTAGTATCCCACCCATCTGCCGTACTCAGGTAGATGAAACACCGAGTTCAAGATAATGGTGTCTGAGGGGGAGCTTCAATGGAGTATAGATGCCTTCAGATTAAAGGAACAAGCATCACTTTGAGACAGCTGTCTCATTCAAAAGTTATAGGTCTGAATGAGAATGTTGCCTCACTCTGCAGTTTAAAAAATAAATTTATATTTACCGGCTTTCTTATTTTCTAAACTCACTTGAGGGTGACGCTGATCCAACCAACCAGTGTCCTATCCCTAGGAATACAAAAGTGCATTCGGCATACCATACAGATTTAAACGTGCTGTACGAAGAGCTCTTCACCTTGCAACATCCTGATATAAAAAAAAATTGTCACAAAATAATCAAATTCTGTTTAGAGCACTTGGATGTAAAGTATCCAAGCAGTATACCCATTAAATTTCTAGTTTTCCCAGAATTTTTTTTTAGATTGTTACCACCTCTCCAATGTTTATATTTAGCAATGCCCATAATTTTTAATTCGCTTTAATCTTGGTTGTGTTTAAAGGAACACTATAGGGTCAGGAACACAAACATGTATTCCTGACACTGTAGTGTTAAGCCCACCATTTAGGTGGCCTGTCCCCCCTTAGCACCCTTAAAAGGATTAAAAGCTCATTTTATTTCCAGCACCGCGCTGGTCTGCTGGGGATGGCCCTGCCCGCGATCTGCCTTCTTCATGACATAAGAATTGCCAAATTTTAGCCAATCCAATGCTATTCTATAGGGAAAGCATTGCATTGGCTAAAATTGGGATGGGGCCAGGGCCAAACGCTGTTTTGGCGAATCAGCACTACTTCTTGGAGATGCATTGCCACAATGCATTTCTATGAGGAAAATTCCACCTCCCCATGCAGAGCGTGGTGATGCTAAATGGCAGTGCTGCCTACTATGCAGCACTGAGCCAGGAAGCACCTTCAGTCGCCATCTGAGGAGTGTCCCTAGGGGCAATGTAAACACTGCCTTTTCTATGAAAAGCCTATGTTTGCATGAAAATGCCTGAAGGCAAGGATTATATTCACCAGAACTACTACATTAAGCTGTATTTGTTGTGGTGACTAGTGTCCCTTTAATAAAGCAGATACAGAGTGTTTTTATATCCCTTTTCAATATTTCAGCAATTTTCACCTAACCTGGTTTTTAATGGCCTAGTAGTTCTGCCTGTAGATGTAAACAAGTTTGTTAGAAATGCTACACTTAAATGTTTTTATCTTACAAAAAAAAAAAAAACAGAACCAATTGATCATACTAAAGAAATAAATGTAAACTTTTTTTTTTTAATTCCTTATTTTTTGCTGTGCAAGTTTCAGCAACAAGCCTGTGTTGCCACAACAGCAGTCACAAGCATAACATCATCTTACGTATTACACATGGCAAGTAGAAGGTCTGCACAATTTTATATGAAGCAGAAATGGTAGGCATAGCATAGTATTTAAAGCATACTACAGAGGAACATGCTTGGTCCATATATGCTTAGATTCAGTACTGACATGGTAACAATAGAAAGAAAAAGTGATGGTCGCTTAACTGAACTAAAACACTGCAAAATGTGAGCGATGAAAGCATTAGAGAAAATACCAAAAGCTATTTAACTTAGCTCACTGAATGTAAGAACATATTAAAGTGAGCAGAGGGGCTGTACTGGGTAGGAGTAGTGGGATATTTGGTAAATTCATCCTATACCCACGGCATGCAGGCAGAGATCAGGCACGCACAAACTGGATTAGAGGTCCTCTGGGATTCTACAACCTGCTGCAGCACACACTTTCCCATGGCCATAGGCTACTCTTTCCGTGACAAGGTAAAGTCCCTGAGTCTGCAGGAGGCTACGATCTCCGCTGGTGTTCAGCCCACGTGTTACTCCCGCTTGTGTCTCTGACCAGTGGAGGGTTTCCAGGCAGGAACTCAGGTGTGCAGCCCCTGTGCTGCATGGGTCTCTGACCTGTTGAGGGTTTCCAGGCAGGAACTCAGGTGTGCAGCCCCTGTACTGCTTGGGTCTCTGACCTGTTGAGGGTTTCCGGGCATGAACTCTGGTGTGCAGCCCTTGTGTTGCTCGCTGCTGCCGCTTGGGTCTCAGACCAGTTGGGGGTTTCCGGGCAGGAACTCTGCAAACAGGTTGAGTCACACAGAACCTCTGGCATATAGCATTGAATGCCCGTAAGAAGCCCTCTTCCCAGCTCTGCGCCGGTTCTTGTATTTCATGCTTCGTGTCAGCCATCTTAGGTAGGCCATGTGGATTTTTCTGCAAGAGTCAATCAGGAGCCACAGGAAGGTGAGTGAACACTGCTTGGTGGGGACCGGGATAACCCCTGCCGGCCCAAAGGGAGGGGAGTACAGGGCGCCATATATCCACAAAGAAGAAAGCCTGGGCCACCCCGGACAGAGAGATCGTCCGCTTCTCCCGCCGAGGTAACACCAGGCCGCAAATAGATGGTGGCCGCCACTGCTTGGCTTTGAGAGTGTGGAGGTCTGAATCTCACTCCAATGTTGCCTGCAAGGTACTAGACGAGTTTGCCAGTATGAGTTAGTCCAGTAATAGGGCTTTTGTCACCTGTCGATTTTAAGCCAGGATCAGGCAGGAGCCCAAGCTTTCTGCGTCCGTCCAGTATAGCATCCAAGCCCCGCCCCCCCAAAAATTACAACTTTAAAAAAAAAACAAATCCACATTTTATCCATCTTATTATAAAATCAGGAGCATTAGAAATTTTCGAAAGAAACGTTAAGAGAATGAAATAAGTTAGAAACAAATATGACAAATTTATTTTAAATAAAAAAAGAGAAGCTATAAAAAAACTCCAAAGAGATGATACAATAATAAAGTCAGCAGACAAAGGAGGTGGAGGCCTGGTGATTTTATCAAAGGAGATGTATGAAGCGGAGGCATGTAATCAGCTTAATGATGCACAAACATGCTAAATGAAATAAAGATCGACAACAGATATAAAAATACTATTAACCAGACGTCTAGATAAAGGTAAATTAAACGGTGCTTTAAATCCACAAGAATTCAGATATATTAATGTGCAATATACAAAAAACCTGATCCATCAGACCAGGCAACCTTCCATTGCTCCATATTCCAGTTGTGACGCTCACGCCTTTATTGAAGCTCATCAGGGGCACTCTGACTGGTCTGCAGCTATGTAGCAAATTGTGATGCACTGCCTTTTCAAGCACCTTTCTATCATGGCCAGCATTAAGGGTTTCAGCAGTTTGTGTTACAGTAGCTTTTCTGTGTGATTGAACCGGACAGGTTAGCCTTTACTCCCCCGTGCATCAATGAGCCTTAAGTGCCCATGACCCTGATGCCAGTTCACAGGCTGTCCTTCCACCACTTTTAGTAGGTACTAACCAGTACATACTAGGAATACACCAAAACCAGATCTTTTCACTTGCCCATATTTCCTGCTTCCAACACATGAAAGTCAAAATTATACAAAATATACAATTGTAATTGCTTATATTATTGTGTCCAACCTGATACCACCTCAAAATAAAACACTGACAAAAAAATAAATAAAAAAAACGCAAACAATACTTAAAAATTAAACATCTGCTCTCGGGTGGAATATTCCCATTGATGAATGTTTGCTAATCCTTAATTACATTTGTATTTTTCTTTTGTCTTTTCGAAGGATATTGCACTATACAACATAAGGTAATGCTGGAGGAAAAAATCATGTGAGGATTTTTTTTTGAGGGGAATTTTATTTTAAACATGTACTCTTAAAATTTGAACATACAAAATTAAAACGGTCATATGTATTTTCCTTTGCTTTATGTACTTTTTATTTTTAAAATTCATGTTAAGCTAATGTGAGAAATTCATGGAAAGAGCATTTTACTACTTCCAAGTGTAAAAAGGACTATCAGCTAGCAGGCAATAATAACATGAAGATCACTTACTGTTCAGATTAAAAGAATTGAGGTTGCCAAGTAAATTCTTTTTTGTGAGTGAGCGAGTCCATATAAAAAAAAAACCCCAACAAAGAACCCATATTGACCATAAAAATGTCCTTAAATAATGATGGTAGGAGCCAAACTCAATCCCTGAAGCCACCCAGTGCTCTGCAGCAGGACCAGAAATCCCACTACGACAAGGCAACAAAGAAATTCCCCAGGCACTCAAGGTGTTAAAGCCGCAGGCAGTTTTAATGAAACAAAGAACAGCAACGTTTCGACCTCCTAAACAGCTTGAAAAAGACCTATTAGCAGGTTGAAACGTTGCTGTTCTTTTTGTTTCATTAAAACTGCCTGCGGCTTTAACACCCTGAGTGCCTGGGGAATTTGTTGCCTTAAATAATTTACAGACCGTTGCAAGGTTTGGTCAGTTTGATGAACAAAATCTAGCAATAGGAATAAGTTGCAGATATGGAACAGTGATGATATACAATATTCATTTTATGTATAGAGCAATAATTTAAATTTCTGTATCTGTTTTTTTAATTTTCATTTCATGTACAAAGTTTTCAACTGTAGATGGTGTGTCACAAAATATGCCAAACGTTGACAGGTATATGTAAAGATCCCAACACGCCTACATTTCCTTTAACAAAATCTGGATCGTTTAACACTACTCGTATCTCCAGAGTTTTTCCTTTTGCGAGAAGTCTCTGTAACCTGAATATATGGAACAGCATCGGGGAGGCAGTAGTTATTGGCTGGAGGAGGTTGTTCCTTTAAAAAAAAAATAAAAAAAAAAAAGGAGGCAGGACATACACATTAGAATGTAAATTAGCACTATTTTTGGAAGGGACTATAAAATATGGTATAGAATAGTAATAAAAAAAAGACAAAATAGGTATATATAGATAAAGACATGCTCTACGAGAAAGTCCAAAATGAGCGTTTGCAGGCTGGTGTAACCAGGCACATTGTCTGCATTAAGATGAGTTTGCTCATTACCTGGCTAAAGATCATGGTAATCAAAATCTACCAACTCAAGATTGGTTTGGGCAACTTTGGTATTTTGGCACTTCTTTTTAAACCATATATAGACCCCCTAAACGTTATTTGGCTGCAAATCTTAAAAAGGACACTTGGCTGCCCCCTTCAACCCCCCTCACCACAACCATTTAGTATATACACACCCACCCCATGAAAACATGCATGCTTTTAGTTATGCAATGTTTGCATAAGGAATATATAAAACAACAGATCTTGTTTTATATATTGCAAGCCCTCCCATGGTTCCTCAGTCCATACTTTGACTGCCCAATGCAGCTCAATTAGAAGTATTTGCAAGGCAGGTGCTCTGGGGAGTTTCCTGCCTCGAGTTTAACATTCCAGAGCTAAACTACCAGAAAGTAACCCGATCGGTTGTCTGATTTACAGCCAGGGTTTTGATTTATAAAAGCACCAATTCCTATTGAAATCAGCAATTTATTACAAGTGTTTTCGGTGTTCATTTAATAAAATGTGCTATGATGGTTTATGGGGCTGAATAGTCAAGCTACCTCTGTTGTGGCAAAGGTAAGTCAATTACTAGGTCAATCTATTTTATGGAGATATTAGAGAAACTAGTGTATATGCTGAAAGCTAGGGTCCACTTGTGATTCAGTGGACACTAGCTTATATACGTGTTGAGATATTCAGAGTTGAAAGGAATTTGGCATTTCCTGAATAGATGTGAGATTTTTTTTTTTATTGCACAAACCTTGATAAGATAATCTGCAATGTATTCTGGCTTTAAGCAGTGGACTCCTTGAGCTGCAGCCTCTGACACATTCACCTTGGGATCCTCAGGCTTTAGTTTGTTAAAGTCTGCAAATATGTGGGTGGTGTCTTTAAATAAAGACAAAGAATGACCAGCAAACACCTAGTGGGAAGGAAAAACATATAGTCAACAATTCTTATATTTAGAAATATCTATAGGACAGGAAGTGAAGTTACCCTGTTTCTCACATATTTAAAAATTGATCTGTCACATTTTTATAAAAAACAGGCAATTTAGATGAAGGAAATTAATTGTATACGAAAAACAAAAAATTAGAACGTCAGATAGATATATCAGAGAGTTTTGATATATGTAAGATACAGTGAAATTAAAATGTTTCAAAGGCATCATGACCGTTCTAGTCTTATATGAAATACATATGAGAAAGATAAAATATGATAAACGTGGTAAGAAGCTCCGTATGGCTCAACATTTAAAGACAACAGTACTCAACACAAACTTGCGCATACAGAGTTTTTTTTTTCCCTTAACAGCATACCTAGTGTGTAGTAGCAGTGTGCTTGCATGGGTTTATGTAAGTAAAGTGGCATTTTGTGTCCTTTTGATATGTGGTTGTCTGTATGGTGTGTGTTAATGCAGGGGTGTATTTGCATGGAAGGTGATTATGAATGCAGAGGTGTGTTTGTGAGAAATGTTAGAATGAACATCAGTAAGTGTCTTGCAAGTGAATACAAGGGATGGATTGTATCCCTCCTCCCCAAAAAATACTATGCTTTATTAAATGAAATCACAACTGAACTTGATCCTGAATTACTTTACTAGATAAATCATGGATGCAAATTTAAAGATCACCTTTGCTCCTCCAGACTGCAAAAGCCGTTTGAAGCCAGCTTCTTTTGTTTTATCAACATTTAAAATAACTCTCCAACCACTAAATGCTCCCTGTGAAAGAAAACAAGATCAGAAACATTATATATTGGGTTTAGGAAACATTTTTAAAGTGTATCCTCAAATGAACTTCATGCTTTAGTACTGTTACTGTAGGCCCACAAACACCTTATTCCAAACGATGACTTAGCTAATTTTACCTAAATTGTGTAATTTAGATTTAACTTTAAAATTTACCGTTTAGTGAATAACCCTGTAGATGCAACTCAAGAGTTATTTCCCCATTTTAACTCATCTCCTTTATCTTCATTTTGGCATTCTCTCTTTAATGTGGACTTGTAAAATAGAATGCTTTCCAACATTAGAATGATTTTGTTTTGCATTATAAAGCATACTGAAGTGTATTTCTAGTGAACAATATGGCATTTTAATAAATGTAACTGAATAGGTCAGCTGTCAGTTTCACTGAGGTTTGTCTTTTTTCATGGTTATAAAGTTAAACTGAGGCAAAACATTCTCCTTTCCTTACTTGATTAGGCCAAGGTCAAATGAGTATAATCAACAATACTGCAATACACAAATACTGCATTGTTGAAAGTTACCAACTTTCACTCCTATGAGCAGCAATTCGTTTCATTTTGAACAAGTGACAATCAGTTTGCAACCAATGATGTTTAGTCGCTGTGCCTTCTATTTTATTTTTCTCAGGACACACTGACCGAGGGGGTTACTTGGGAAGCAGAGAGTTTGGATTTTCTTTTGAAGAGATACTGAAAATGAACAGATGGTATTAACAAGCTCCAATACACCACAATAATCCTGTATGCCCGCCTAATCACTACATAATTCCATAATTTGACAATATAATCACATTGCATTTAATCCAATTACCATTCTATCATTTAGATCCAAAAAGTTTCTATCTTTTTCTAGAACCACTAAATTAGTGTGGTGTAAAAAGAAGTATATATTTAAGTACACCTAATGTAAAACAGAAGCAAGATGCAGAGCAAAGTTCATCATATAAATGATCATACCTCCACACTGCCCTGTTCCTGC